GGAATCTGGACAGAACAGAGACTCCATATGAGATATCTGGTCGAGTCTGGACAGCGAGGTACATGAGCGATCCAATCTTCGATCCATAGAGTTCAATTTCTGCGTGTGAAGCCTTGCCTTTAAATGGGATCATGACTTCTGCAGCTCCTGTAGCCACAGGTGTGTCCACTGCCTTGCAATTCTCCATGCCATAGCGGTGCAGAATCTTTGTGATGTATGCATCTTGACAGAGGGAAATTGTTCCTGCCTCTCTGTTGCGTGTGATCCTCACCCCTACAAAGTATGCTGCTGGCCCAAGGTCTTCAATTTCGAATTTTCGCATCAGCTCCTTCTTCAGCCCTTGGATTGTTGTGATTTGTTTGCTAATGATCAGCATATCATCCACATATGTGACGATGAGGATTCCTGTCTTCTGATTGCAATAAACGCTGTAATCGCTTGCGCATGCAGTGAATCCAAGTCCATGAAGTGCCTTTGCAAGCTCTCTTTGCCAAAGTCGAGGTGCTTGCTTCAATCCGTAAAGTGCTTTCTGTAGATGGCACATCCAATTTGGCGCATTTTCCAGTATGCTGCCATTGACTTCCCAGTCTGGTGGAACATCCATGAAGATTTCTGTGTCCGTATCAGAATTGAGGAAGGCTCCAACCACATCCACTTGCTCAATTTCAAGTCCGAAAAATGCTGCGATTGCGATTGCGAGTTTCCATGTTGTTGTCTTGCACACTCCAGCATATGTCTGATCAAAATCAGTTCCCTGTTTCTGTCTAAAACCTTTTGCAACCCATCTCGCTTTGCGCTTCATGATAGAGCCATTCTTGTCTCTCTTGGTTTTGAGGACTAGCTTTCCTGGTAGCACTTTCGCGTGTGATGGTAGTTGAGTTCGCTGCATAAGCTTCCAAGTGCCCTTGTGTTTGAGGTTTCGGTATTCCTTTTGGATGGCGGCTTGCCATTCTGGCCAGTCTGCTTGCTGCTTTGCTTCTTCAATTGTATTTGGATCATCGTAGATAGATGTATGTGCTCCGGCTGTGAATGCTGCAATGAATGCTGAGCTCGAATTCTGGTTCTGTGACTGTTGAGTGAGCTTCATAGCTTGCGGTGGCTGTTGTGGTTGATATGGCTGTTGTGGTCGCTCGCGGGTTTGGTTGCGGGTGACCCTGTTGAACTGAGGTTTTGGGATATAAACCTTTCGAGTTCTCCTCGCTGTGATAGTGGGCATCAGCTCTATATCCTCATCATCGACTTCTGAGTATTGATCCAACTCATGAAGTTCTAGTTCCTGAGGTGAGTTTTCGGATTCTGAGATCTCGCTCTCATTTTCGATTTCTGAGTGATGCTCTTCATGCTGTGTTTTAGAGACTCGTTGAATTAGATCTCTGTCATAATTTGCCTCACCCCTGGCTCTATGAGGCAGTGTGATAGATGCATCTTCGTTATCGCTTTCAATTTCGTCCTCATCTGGGAATGGCTTCGTAATGAGTCCTCCTTCGTCGAATCGGACATTTGAGGATCGCACTATGCGATTTTCGAGTGGTCCTCTTCGAGTAGGCACATAGATTTTAAAGATATGTGTGCCTTCATATCCAACAAGAATTCCAACTTCTGCCCGTTCTGTAACCTTTGCACTTGTGACCCTCTTTTCCTTTGGGATTTGTACATAAGTCTTGCATCCAAGCACTCGAAAATGTGCTACAGATGGGCGGTTGTCTTGTCCAGGATGAAGGTTGTCTGTTAAAGCTTCGTATGGCGTCTTGCCTTTCAACTTTGAAGTTGCTGTGCGGTTGGTAATAAGTACAATTGACTCAAGTATGAGAGGCCAGAGGAACTGTGGAATAGCCATGTCGATCATCGCAGTCCGCGTACGCTCGCAGATAATGCCAATTGACCGCTCTGATGTGCCATCCTGCTCTGGGTTGTAAGGAGTTGTCATTTCGACGATTTGCCCAAGTTCTTCTGCAAGTTCAGTGAGCTTCTTTGGACTGTATTCCTTTCCTCCATCCATTCTCCATTTCTTGATGATCTTGCCAAATTGTGTGTTGACCATCTTCTGATATTTGATGAGTGCATCATATGCCTCATTCTTCGCGCGATGAAAGTATGCCCATCGAACAGTTGTTGCCTTTTCTGTAAAGATAGTTGCATATTTCTTCTTTCCAATTCCTTCTGGCGTGATCATGACCACGTCAATGTGAACTTCATCGAACGGTTGCAAGTTTCGAGTTACAGCTTGCTTGCGAATGTGTTTCTTCGCCTTTCCTCTCTCGCATAGATCGCCCAATTGGAGAGCTTCATCTTCTTGTTCTTGTGGCGTAAGGTCTTCCTCGTCAGAGATCGCCATGCCTCTCACCATTTTCGAGGTCTTCTGTACATTCGCGAGGCCAAGATGTCCAAATCTGCGATGCCAGAGTCGAATTGAGTGTGGAGGATTCTTCTCATTTTTGTGAGTAGTTGCTGGGATGCATAGGCTCGAGGTGATGCTTCAATTATCATCATATTCTCATCGAAACGGAACATTGGAATACCTTTCTTGTTTACAACCAAGTTCTTGTCCATAATATGCAATTCACCCCTTCCTAAGAGCTTTCGAGCTCCAAAGATGTTCATTCCGCAGTTTGGAAGATATTGAACTTTGGTAAGGTGTAGGGTGTGAATGCCTCCATCATCTGTTGCGCATTGCAATGTTCTTTCGCCTTGGCCAAGTGGCTTGGTGATGCCACTTGCTGTGTCAATGGATGGAAGAGTCAATGAGGTTTCGTATGAGCCACTGTTGAATTCCTCGATTGAGCTGGCGATATGTGTCTCTGCTCCAGTGTCAAATAATGTGCCATTTTGAATTGGCGACCTTGAGTGGTTGAGTTGAACACAAATGTATGTGGTGGCGTTCTTGCCAAATTGACGATATTCATCTTCTTCATCTGATGAGTTGTCATTCTTTGCCTTCTTTAGCTTGTTTGATTTGCTACTTGAGTTTGACGGTTTAAATGGCATGAACTTCTTTCCAGTCCGTTGTTCCCATTCGTGGCGGAGCTTCTTGTTTGTAACGAAGCAGTTTTCGGGTTCATGCCTTGCGTTTGGATTTTCGCAGTTCTTGCACATCTTTCCACTCTTCCCTTTTGCACTGTCTTTGAATTTCGAATTTGGTTTGTGTTACGACGGAACAAGAAGGCTGGCCAACTACAGGACAGGAAGGAGGGAGGTCGCATGAGACCGGCCCTGGTACCTGGAGGGGCAGCGGGGAATAGTAGTTCCGAAAGTATCACGTGATGGACTCGCAGGATGATGAGAAGAGTCCTAAGAGTCCAGGACTCCGAGGACTCGAGTGAGTTCCCAGGAGTCCACTAGGCACGTGATGGACTCGCAGGATGATGAGAAGAGTCCTAAGAGTCCAGGACTCCGAGGACTCGAGTGAGTTCCCAAGAGTCCACTAGGCACGACGCCACTATATAAGTAGATAGTATTTCCTTAGATAGGAGCTTCGTGCTCAACTCAATACAGTATTTGTTATATACTAGTAACGTGTTACTTGAAGCCTTTGTGTCTGATCCCCTGCCTCCTCTGATAAGTAAACCTTTACGCAAGAGAACCTCTGTGTCTTCTATCGTTTAGAAGTCAGCGTTACAGTTTGCCCTTCGTAGGTGGTTTGCCATTGTAGTGTATGCTTCCATCTGCTTTCTTGTCCTTCTTGCGAGCTTCATCCGTAATATCCTCAATAAGCGCCGAGAGTGTGAGCTTTGTTACTTCACTATGGGTATTCGAGCGCTGGCGTTCTGCCCAGATTGGCCATGCATCTGAAAGTGCCATGATGAAGAGAATTGGATGCCACGCATCTGGTGGAGAGATCTCGAGGTTGGCGAGCTTCTCAATTGCTTTCTTGAACCCAATGATGAATTGTTCAAGGTTTGCGTAGTCTTCGTACTTGATCTTGGTGTATGTTTCAATTGCATTGAAGTTGAGAACTGCGCCAGTTCCTTCATATTGAGACTGTAAGATCACCCACATTTCGCGTGCTGACTTGCAACCTGCAAGCAGCTGTGATGGTGTTTTCTTCACATTAGTTTGGATGATGAGTTTCATCGATGCGTCTCCTGCTTTCCACGCTTTCCATGTGGCGAGTTTCTCAATGTCCACCTTCTCATCGAACTCATCTGCTTGTGGAGGAGCTTTGCCTTTTGGGTGTACGAAACGGACAAGGTCGTTGGCATCCGCGAGGTCCTCCATCGCAGTTTTCCATTGTATGTAATTCTGTTGAACACATAATTGGAGTTTGACGACTTGATTGAAAAACTACGGGGGGCGAAGCCCCTATATATACACAGTTGGTATACAGGCTACGCATGTGCAGCGTACTACCAGGAATGCAGTTCCAACAAATTCTCCTCTCCTCGGAGTTTCATGTTCTCTGGGAGGTTATTCCGACCTCCATTGCCTTCACCCATTGTGAAAGGTCTTGTGTGTTTGGATAAGGAATTTCGAGTTTGTGAGAGTTGGATGATGGATGATGAATTCGATCTGGGGCTTCCTAGATTGTAGAATTGATCTTCTTCTTCCTCTTCTTGCTGAGTTGAATCGATCATCTGCTAGAGGCTGCAAGTTCGTCTTGAGGTTTTCGTGGAGTGTATGTGCTGTATGTTAGCGCTTGTCCACGAATTCAGATTGTATGTGCTGTAATGAGCACTTCTCTGAATATGGTAACTTTTTTGGCTTTTGCGATAGCCGGGCTCATAACCTGTTGAGATCAGTGGTGTATCTGTATCTGCAGTGGCATAGTTATCACGTTGAGTTGAACAACAGTTCACTTGAATATATGTTTTGTATTGTTGTTCTGAGTGAAGCTATCTACGGAACTATTTGTGGGTGGTCCGCAACCCGATTCAGTTGGCGAGCCACACGCCTAACCAATCAGTCTGAGCAACCTCCTCCTTCAACATTCTTATACAGAGATTCAAGTACAGTTAACAGAAAGTACTTTGGTTACCTCAGAGCTTATGCAAATTACTACTATTATGTCTGAGCAAAGACAACGGAAAGTTAGAAGCAGAAAATCTATTCAAAAGGGTGGAGCTGTTACAGTTGAACAAGCACGGAAGAAGATTCATACGAAGATAGTAAAGGAGCAAGAGAGAGAAGAAGCAAGAGAGAGAAGAGAGAGAAAGCGCATGGTTAACCTTGAGTATAAGCTGCAGCTCCGTGCTGGCATTGATGCACGGAGAGCGGAACGGGTACGGAAAAGGGAATTACTTGAATTCCAAAGGAGTAACCCAGACACCGAGCTACCAAGGGAGTTACTCGAAGTAATCATAGACCCTGAAATTCGTCTTACAACTCACGAAACAGACCCATGTTTCCCACCTATAACACGGGTCCCACGGGGGAGGCTAAAGAAGGAGAGGTTCTGGAAGGAGGACCCGGAGGAGAGTTGGGAGGGGAGAGGGAGCTTCTGGTGTTGGGCGCTGCTCTACTTGAGGGGTCTACTTGTGAGCAGGGCCACAATACGAGAAGCTGCTGGTGCCCGCATGAGTAGGGCGCTTTCATGAGTATGGTGGGAGCAAGGTTAGTGGAGCAGCGGTGTCAAATGGGACATCAGAGTCACGGAGGAAGCTGAAGGCTGCAGCAGGGGGTATATAAATCTTTTATTAAAGCTCAGGGTATATGAATCTTCACAAAGTGGTGCGGGGTACATATATAGATCTTTTGCCCTATATTTATATTTGTATGTAAAGGGCAAACATCTGCGTCCATACAGCACACATTATGTACTGTGTGACTGACAATGGGTATTTGTCTTGTATTCACAGGCCAACCACTTAAGCCCGCACAAGCACTACGACCGCGCATAAGTGCCCATGCAGGCACGCGTTAGTGGTGCTAGAGCGAGAGGGGCAGGTGTTGATGTGTGCGGGGTTTGGAGGTGTGCTGTCCGGTGTGCTGTTCTGGAAGGTGTATTTTTGCTGAGCTCCGCGTGAGGATAAAGTGAGTTGGTCATGGACTTTGGTGGATGACAAGTTGGTGAGAGTGTTGTAGGTGAGCTCTACACCTACAACAATCGTGGTGTCCTCAGTACGACGCCAGGTGCTGTCTACGGCTCAGTCGCTATGTAGGCCAAGTCTGGGGTGAAGACGCCGAGAAAAGCTGTAAGATGGCTAATGGGATACACGATGCAGGGGCTAACTTACGACACAAGCAGACAGCGGCAACAGCAGCGGTAGGGTGGTAATCATTCTTTCTTTCTTTTCAATCCCTCTCACCAACCATGAGCTCAGATCAATCAATCACTGGCCTGGCCTGGCCTGGCTAGCTAGTCCGTCCAAATCGACTATCGATAGGATCTCATCTCATCCCCTTCGAATCATCTCCAACATCTCTTCCGCATACAGATATCACTTTTCGCTCACGGTCGCAGACAGACTCGCCTCTTTCTTTCTCTCCCCTTCCCTTCCCATCCTTCCCACCCCCTTTCGCTTTTCCCAAAAAAAATAAACCAGATAATAACCCCAGCCTGTCCGTCCTTCAATCTGTCCAGCCCATCCATCCCCCTCTTCCATAAAAAAACGCCATCCATATAAACCCAAACCACCTAACTAACCGTCCGAATAAAATTCTGATACCGCTCCTCCTCCGACAACCCCTTTGGCGGCGCCTTCACCCTCACCCCCCCATTTACCTGATTCGCGCTCGTATTCCAGAGCATCGCCTCCTCTCCCGTCTCCCTTTTCAATTCCCGCTCCCTCTCCTCCTCTTTCTTTAATTCCCGCTCCCTCTCTCTCTCCCGATCAGTCACGCCGCGCTCGCGGGGTAAGCGCATGGCGAGTAAGACGTACTCCCCCCTCGTCATCCCCTCCATCACCCCATCCATCCACCGCCTCACCTCCTCCTGCGGGCGTACCACGCGGGCTAGACTCTCCAGCTGGCGTCCCTGGCCCGTCCACAACCTCATCGTAACAGGCTGGTAGTAATCCAATGCCGGATCATACCCCCCGCCTTCTCCTGCTGAGCCCTTCCGCACGATCAGAAATGACGCGATCACCTGACCCCCCGGCACGTATTCGAGGATGCTGTATTTAGGGAAGAGGTACCTATCTCCGTTCCCCCCCACAAACTCAAAAACCACACACAAAAGCTCGGGCTTCGTGCTCACCGGCCCCTTGGAGCGGAGCGCCTGTGGCTGCGGTGGCGCGCCGTACGGCGACGCGTGCTGAAGCGGCTTATCATACGGTCGCGGCTGCGCGAGCAACGGCGGCGGTCCACCCTGTCTCTGCGCATGCGGTGGTAGCGGAGCTGTCCCAGCATGCTCCCATTTCGGCTGGACCTGGTGTGGCCCAGGCATATGCGACTGCTGCATCATCGGCGGCTGCTGTGTCTGTAGCGGAGGAGGCGGAGCGGGCGAGGGCTGCGATTTAGGCGGTCCGCCGCGAGCGTTGAGAGCTTTGGTGAGCTCGTCAATGTGGGTCTGAAAGCGGCGAAGTTCGGCGGGCGTGGCTTTGCCGTCGGCGACGATGCGCATTAGGGCTTTAAGGTCAGGTGATTTGGCGGCGCGCTCGGCGAGCATTTGGATTACCGGGTCAAAGGTTTTGGCGGGGGGGGCGGAGGGGGTGTGCAGCGGGTTTGCGGGTGGTGGGTGTGGCGGGTGTGGCGGGTGTGAGGGGTGCGATTGGGGGGTCGGAGGTTGTGATTGTGAGAGCGGTGGGGGAGGTTGTGGTTGTGTTTGTGTTTGCGGAGTTTGAGGATGTGGTTGCGAGATGAGCGGAGGCGGGGGATGTGGGTGGCCGTTTAGAGGGGGTGGTGCTGAGGGCTGGCCTGCGTGTGGTGGTTCGGAAGGTCGGGTTGGTGTGTCTTGTGGCCTTGGTTGTGGTGGATGTTGTGGGTGTGGTGGTTGAGGGGGCGGAGCCGCATGCATTGGGACGAATTGCTGGTGAGGAGCCTGTGGTTGTGGTGGTGGCGGGTGTTGGGGGACGACACCATTAGGCGGTCCGTATTGCATGATGGGCCGATATTGTGGCAGCTGTTGCGGTGGTGGCGGCTGCTTCGGCGTCGTGTCCTTGACAACGTACATGATAGCGTCGAAGACGTGTGGCTCGATCGTAATTGTGCACTGTCCGATTTTCGTCATTGAGTCCTTGGGCGGGTTCTTGAGCTCCTCCACTGGCCGGCCATCCTTGGGTTTCTTCTTTGACGGCTTTGTCCAGTACTTCTCAAAGATGCCCTCACTCAGCCACTTCCTCCTTGATCGATCCAGCGACTCGGCCAAGACGCGGCTGTTTCACAAAAAAAAGTCAGTATATCCGCACGCCACGGTAATCGGCCATCCGCAAGGTGCATGCTTGCTTACCTCTCGGCAAAGGACTGGTATTCGCTCGACGACAAGTCATCTGGTTGTTGCTGCTCGACGGTCGGCAGAGGCTTGCCCGGGACTATGCTCTTGGGAAGAGCTTCCTTCTCGACGACGACAGGAACCGGGGTAGGTGGACGCGCAGGCTCGCGGGGCGGCGTCGATGTCCGTTTCTTGCTGGCGGCCTCAACGCGCGACGAGGTGCGGGCGGGGAGCTTGCGCTTCTTGCTCTCCATTCTGTGAGCGGCCTCGGCGGCTGCAGAAATCGGAGATGGGTGATGTTGGTGAGTTGCGTTTTGGTTGTCTGGACGCGTCGGGGCGGGAGATGGTGGAATGGCGGACGGCGCCGTTGAATAAATTGCTAAACGAACGAGGGTGAGGTGAGCTTGGCTTGGGGGTGCTGACGCCGCTTTGATTCGGCAGCCGAGATGCGGTTGTTCGCGACTTCTCAACTTAATTCATTAATTTATTCCAATCAACGTGCTAACAATATTTGACGCGAATGCGTTGCAGTTGAGGAATTGTATTTTAAAATATCAATCGGATTGATATGCGCATTGTGTTGTGTGTATCTCCATCTCGTGCACCTCTGCGTTTTAACTTGGCCTTCGGGGACACGCGGCCGCATGACAGTTTGCCTCAGGATTCGCTGTTTGCTTCTTTTATACTGCATTTCTTGGCCACTTGTATGCTTTCTTTTGAACCTTGGGATTATAACTATGTTTAATGGTTTATTCGCCATTGGCTTTTCAATGTTCTGTTCTCCTCCGCGTGGTCTTTGATGATGCTGCGCTGATACTTCTCTATTAAAGTTGATATCCATCACCTTTCTAATACTTTGTACAGAGATACACGGACAAGTTGATATTCGACCCATCTCCTCGCCCGCCAGCCCTCGGGCTATCAACTGAGTCCGATGCCTCCTTCCACTTCTATATTTCACACCTCCCTCTTGGTCTTGGCAGGGACCGGAGCAATCTACGCCATCTGCCTTGGAGCCCTCACAAGCCGATTTGTCCAGAGGCAGTAAGTCTACGCTCCTCTCTTTGAATATTTGTCATCTCACCAAGTTGCATTGCAGCGCCCTGTATATGCACAAGTTGCATACAGCGTACTTTGAAGACCTCAACAAGCCCGAGCAATGGGGGTTTGCAAGTAAGTAGAACGGCTCTGTATTCGACTGTCACTTCTGACGGATCCACAGACAACCAGATTACCCCTTTCAGTTTCACCACTCCGGATGACGAGACTCTGTATGCGTGGCACGTGATGCCATTGGGGCTGTACGCCAAGCACGAGGAAGAGATTCTTAAACAGCCATCTGGGCTGGCGGAGGATATCACGAAGACGAAGGCATTTGATCTCCTTACCACGGATCCACAAGCCAGGCTCATCATCAGCTGTGAGTACAATCTGTCTTGCTCCGATGGATGTGGCCATGCTAACCTATCACAGTCCATGGGGTCAGCAACACTGCTTAAACGGATATACCCAACTTGCTAATAGACACTCAGAACGGTGGCACCGTGGCACAAGGCTGGAGGCCCGAAATCTACCGTACACTGTCAGATGGCGGTACATCAACCTTCCATATCCTGGCAGTCGATTACCGCGGATACGGGTATTCTAGCGGCATCCCCACTGAATCAGGCTTGATCACAGATGGAATCGCCACAGTCAACTGGGCGCTGAATATTGCCAAGATACCCACTAGCCGTATTGTCATTGTTGGCCACAGCCTCGGGACGGCAGTGACAGCAGCAACGGTTGAGCATTTCGCAGAGCAAGACGTTAGTTTCGCGGGAGTTGTTGTGATAGCTCCGTTTGCCAGCCTCACTACATTGCTAACGAGATACTCTCCGGGAGGGCTGATACCAATTTTCGGGCCAGTGGCATGGATCCCTGGGTTCGATAAATGGGTTTTCGGCCTGCTCGTCGATAAGTGGAACTCTGCACAGCGGGTGGCAAACATTGCAAGCATTAGCAAACGGCTGAAATTGTTCATTATTCACGCACGAAACGATTGGAATATCCCGTACACCCATTCAGTTTCTTGGTTTGCGGCTGCAGCAAATGCTGCAACGCCGGGAATGTCGGATGTATTTGTGGAGAGGAAGGCGTTCAATACTGTTCACATGGGTGATGGTGGGTCGATAAGCACCTGGACGGCACCGGGGAAGTTTATCCAGGAGATTCTTGTGCCGCATGGAGGTAAGTTCAGCGTGGGCTTGGGAACGAGGTAGTGAGGATGTGACTAACATATACAGGACATAATGTAGTGATGACATTCCCTTCTGTGGCGTTGGCGGTGTTGAAAGCGTTTGATATTGATGAAGAGAATGTGCTATAGAAGTCAAACTGGCGGGATTAGGATTGTGTTCTCGAAGAGTATAGCTGGCTGTCATCCACATTGGTAGTCGGTGACCACCCAGCATCATTCTAAGCCTCCTACGTGGCGGTCATAAATTTGAAAAAAGGATAACCCTTTCCGGCAACCCGACCCAGCTACCTCACCACCCCCCCAATAACTTCAACTGCAGGAGACTTCTGCTACGTCCATTTACCTTACCGGCGGAGGCCATATTTTTACATGGTTGTGACAGACTGTAATAGGGTGCCAGAAGAAATTTATATGGGGCATATGTGGGCTGAGTAAGACACCCTAAACAAGTCCAGGACTAGTTGCCCGATAAAATCTCTCCACAACGACACAATCCGACACTATGATAGGTCTTTCGAGCGAGCTTAGCGACAACAAATATAACCAGTAAATGAAACTAGGGCAAAAACTCCATATACCCAGTAAAACAATAAATAAATTCTATATACAGTCAAACACCGTTAAGACGATGGATTCGAGCCACCATTTTCATATCGTCTTAAAGCATATATCGTTTTATACACACTTATGTAAGCCAATTATCTAGTGTCCTTTGCACTTGCCCATTCTGATCCAAAGCCTCTAATTCCTGGTCAAGACTCTCAATAGCCCGTAGATGACCTGTTTTGATATCTCCACTACTTTCCGCAAACTCAATAAGAATATTCAAGGCATTCCTAGCAGCCTGAATGGTAGGTACTAGTGGCTGTAGTACCTCTTCTTCTTCTTCTTCTTCTTCTTCAGGAACTTCAAGATGTTCTGATATAATCTCTTGCAGAAGCTCATCATGATTTAATGCTCCTTCATCCTCTACTATAGACTCTTCAACCGGGTTAAGAAAGTTAGATATTGCCATAGAATTCTGGATATTGCCAGCTTGTGCCACCTGTGCATATAGCTCTGATAGATTTGGTGGACTTATTAATGTAGAAAGAGATATTGGGTTGCTAAGGAGTGTTGATTTCTGAAAGAAGTTATAGATAGTTGTGTTTGTTATGTGGTGATTCCAACTCCGAACAGTCCAGCGAACTGCAAGATGTAGATTCATTGACTTCATTGGGTTTTGATTTGATTCAAAGCATTGAAGCATGAAAGAGAGCCACTGCTGTCGATAGTAGCCTTTGAAACTCTGTATAATGCCTTGATCAAGGGGTTGAAATCGACTTGTCGGATTGGCTGGAAGCCAGCAGATTCGAATATTTGAGGGCGGTGGTGATAACTCCAGGGCAGTGTAATGAGCAGAGAAGTTGTCCATTGTTAATAGAATCTCTCGAGTCCTCCCAACGTGTTGATAGAAGGCTTGAAGCCACTCACTCATAATCACTGTAGTCATCCAAGCCTTCTTGTTCCACCTCCATTCTCCTCCCATTGTCGTAACATTGATGCGTCGAAAAGCTCGAGCGTTCTTTGCCTTGCCAATTATCCAAACAGGTAATCGGTCATTACCTGTAGCATTGGTGCAGAACACTAGAGATATCCGCCTTTTATCCTTCTTAAGACCAGCGTGAGAAGTTGTTGCTAGACCTCGAGAAGGTGTCATTCGCCAGAAGAGCCCCGTTTCATCCATATTATATATATCCTCCTCTTGAAACTCCCCTGCCAAGGTTTGTAAACTCTTCATTTGTTCCTCTGCTGACTCTGGCACTGACCCAGCTTCACCGTAGAATATATGCTCAGAAATGCGATGTCGTTTCTTGAATCGTTGAAGCCAGCCAGTGCTAAAATCTGGGCATTCCTGGCCAGAGTATTGTGGCAACTGACACCAGACTTGTCGAGCTTTCTCTCGGATGAGATCGCCACTTGTAAACCCTCCTTGCTCTTAGATTCGTTTCTGCCAGAGGATGAGCAGATTCTCAAGGTCTGGCCACTGCCCTAGGCGAATTCGTGAGCCTTCAACCTTGTTGTCTATGCCATCGAGAGTTGAAAAACGGTCGCTGAGGGACTCAGAAACAGTGGATTGGCTTAACTGGTGGTTGAACTGCTGCTGAAACCATGCGATACAGGCTCGTTGAGAAGGGCGGTGGTGTTGGCTTCGAACCCAGGTGCGTAAAGCTCGTCACTGCTCGAGAGTTCCACGCTGCTTTCGAGGCATTCTATGTGTGTATAGGACGATATGTTGAAGGAATATAAGGATATCGTGAATATCGATAAATGTATGGTGTTTGAATCCGTCCCGGAAAATAAATATCAAAATCGAACATATCGTCTTACATAAGATCGTCTTAACCATGTTTGACTGTACCCAGTTCCATCCCACGTGATCCCCCCCCCAAACCCAATCCAGAAACCCCCCTGTTCTCATATGAGAACAGGCCGTAAACCCCCCCGTAACCCCCCCGTAAACCCCTCCTGTTCTCAAATGAGAACGGGTCAATTATGAGGCCTGCGGCAAGTCCTGGCATTGTGCCCAGGCTCACCGCAGGTGCCGCAGTGTGTACGGACTAAGTCCAGCACGGCGGCAACGACTGCCCCAAGCGGCAGAAGTCCTCCATGATCCCGGCGAGCCCGGCGTCCTCCCGCTGAACCCTCTCTTTTCGCGGTCGGCCTCGGGGGATTCGGGTGACCGGAGGGTCACAAACTCCTCCCGAGGCGTTAAGGTCAGGGTCTACGAGAAGACCCTCGACAGAGATTGGAGGCATAGGCAGTTGATACTGCCTCTGCCAACTTCCAGCAGACAGTGCTGCTGGAAGAAAGGGAGTCAATTGACTCCCTTGTCGAAAGATAAGAGTCATGGCGTGCCCACAAGGCACGCCATTCTCTTGGTATCGATGGCAAGAACAAGTTCTTGCCGTCAGGTCAACAAGGTAGATCCTGCCATCTGGCTGGACTACCCGTGCCTCTGTCGGAGAGGACATTTGGAGCCGTTACAACGGGCCCAGTTCCTCCCCTCCTACACCAACCCAGTGATAAGAGGAGGCCATTGCCCTTTGACAATGGCCTCCTCGGCCAAAAGAGAACGCTCGGCATGCTGGGCCATCACCCGGTGCCAGAGCGCATTGAGAAGCTCCACGATTGGGAGCTCTCGATCCGAGCTGATGAGCTTGTTGAAGCTCTCTGCGATATTTGAAGTTTCGTGGCCGTCGATACGGCCACGAAACTTCGCCAGAGCCCACCGTTCAGGCTCGGCACCACAAAGGTATGCCGATGCTTCGGGCTTTGACGCCCGAAGCTCCTCTAAATGCCCGTCAAATTGGGCCACAGTTGTGGCCCGGGCAATCTTCCAGAAGAGGGGCAGAAGGCCCCTCCCAAACCACTCTGAGAAGTTCTCAGAGAGGTGGCGACAGCAATGAGCTATCGCCACCTGCGGAGAGAGAGTTCTCTCTGCAACAAGAAGCCCCTTGTCTCTATCAGAGACAAGGGTGCTTGGCTCGCTCACGAGGTATGGGAGGGACCACTTGAGGTGGTTCAAAAACCACTCCCAAGAGTCCGCGTTCTCTGACTCAGCCACTGCCCAAGCAAGTGGCACAATGTGGCCGTTGGCATCAATGCCAACGGCCACAAGAAGAGTCAGGATGAAACGGGCCTTCAAGAAGGTCCCGTCCACCGCAACAAGCCGGCGGGAGGCTTGGAACGTGGCCCTGCTTTCTGCAGGGCACACGAAGATCCGTTGGAATCGGTCGTGTCGATCTCGAACGAGATCGACATGAACTCCTGGAGCAGATGCTTCCAGGAGGCGCTTGTACGAAGGCAATAGCTGAAAGCTATGCCTCTGCGCTCCAATACCCCCTATGAGAAGGCGTAGCAAAGACTGCTGCGCCCTCCCGTAGAGTATCTCCTCCGCGAATCGAACGCGGAGGAGCTCCACAATCTCCCGTGGCGTGGTCTTTTTGGACACCCGTAGGTGTCGCGAGACCACGCCGTCTAGCCATTCTCCTTTAGAGGAGGAGGCAAACTTCTGTTGCCCCCTCCCTGCGCTGATCTCAGATGCAAGAGGAGTATCAAGGTCCCATGGCAGCGCCCTCATTCTAGGTTTGAGTAGACAGAAGCTGAGGGTATAAGGGAGAAATGAGCTCTGGCAGTGTAGGCTCCTGTACATGTACAGGGACTGGCTTGGTAACACCAACCACACTAGGACTAATGGTAGCTGCAGCGACATCCTTCACCAACTCTGAAAGAAGATTGACCGGAGCAGCCTCATTCTTCACGAAATGACCAAGAGCGGCACTTCTCTCCTTGTCGGTCACAGTAGAGAACTCTTGGGCAGAGAAAGGCTCGTATCCCTCTTCATTATGGTCCAGAAGGGCGTTGTACTTTATATGGGGGGAGACCTTCATGCCAGTCTTAAACTGCCCTGAACGACGGGCAATGACAAGTCGGAGTCCGCGCTCGGTGACAGGAAAGTTAAAAGAAGTTTGGATCTCGTCGCTGGTGTAGATGTGATCTGGGTCCATACTGAGAAGAACAAGGAATCTAATTCGTCCTGATCATATAAGGCCTTATCCTCAGGAGACAACTTTATCAGGCCTTCCTGAAGTCCGAAATGTATTCATTGGGCGTAACCCCCTCGTCCTCGTCGTCACCGTCTTCGTTAGAGACATCATCACAGTTCTCAGACTCTTCATCAGTTTCGTGCTTAGTTGGAGAGTAAGTTGCATCGGGGGTCTCGTATGCAGGAGGCAAGTCGTCAGGACCCTCATCGGTATCATCTGTTTCCTGCTGGGTACGCTTCCGCTTCCGTAGATTCCTGTTAACGGGGGTAAATGATGCACCCTGGGCAGGACCCTCGTCATCAGAAGAGCCGCTGTCCCTCTCTGGCGACCATCAGGAACAGGCACCCGACCCCAAGCACGAAGTTTCAACGGCATAGTTTTCTGACCTTTTAATGCTGTCTTACCCTCATCGGAATTGTGCGCAGCCAACATTTCATCCCGGTTGTCGTTCAAAGCATCTGCGATGACCTGGAAGGATTCAGGAGAGCGGAGTTTTGTCAACACATCAATGATGCTCTTGTCGACCTGCTTAGTTTCACGCCAGGCGTTGTGACTGTTGACTACAGAAAGTTGCACGATGGTGACCTTCTCCTTTTGCGACACCTGCATTTATATTAACACCATCCTCTGTACATGTTTAGGGAGGGGGCACTTACTCGGATAGGTCGATAGTGTACCTGTAGCTCTGACGGCAGGTTGATCGCTGTAGTGACCGAGCATACCCGATGGCATGCCCCGTCTAAGTTGGCGCCCTGTGATGACACCTGATACATCATAACTAGGACAACCAAGTCCGACTGGGGCTCATTGAACTCCTGAATGAGCGCGATTCGCTGGAGGTCATTCAGACCAGCATGCAACACCTCTGCCCGGATGTATATTGACTTCAACACTGTCTCAATAAACCATGCTGAGACGGGGATATCCTCAGAGCACAGCAACTTGTTCCGTCCTCCATCTGGTCTCCTTTTCAGGCAATGATCCATCACGTATTTTAGAATCCAACGCATCTTCGGGGAGACGAAAGTCAAGTGGTGTATCAAATCGGCAGCGTCCTTGATCACCCGATCGCCCTTTCGCACAGTAGCATGTGCAAGCTGCAGTCCCGTGAAGCCTTGGGCTCGTAGTATGCTGATAGTTGCAACAGTGTCATCAAGGCGCTTCTTCCGAACCTTCGTATTATCCAGGGTGTCGTGGAATCGGCTTAGTATAGTCGAGACTGCATTTACCGTCATCGCCCGTAGTGGGCCGGTAATGCAAGGAAAGCTTTTGACTTCTGCCGTTGGGTCGATACGGCTTTGTTTCTGATTTGCCCATATCTCAAGGCCTTCTTCGTAATCCTTGACAAACGACTGATGGAAGAACTGGTACTCTGCTGCTTCCGCAGAACTCATCTTCAACTGCACTGTGGTAATTTCGTATGGTGGCATTAGGTTAGCCAGTGACAGCCGCTCCCCTTGACTATTTAAGGGTATGGAGGTTGCCGTTGATCGCTGAAGGAGTAATAGTCTTTCCATGCACCTGTAAAGCTTGTTTATCGTCGACTTCTCCTTGCTGTTTAGGAGTGTTCAAGTCCGATATGGGTTAGCAGCGATTAGATTCTTCCATGATGAATGAGGGAAATCCTGTGAGACCAGGAGCTCAAAGTCCTTGTAGTTGCCATCAAGTGTTTGGATCCAGTCGCGCCTAGTCTGGTTCAATTAGAGAGACTTGTTGATCTGTGGCCACAATATGTTCAAGGGGCCAAGAATGTCCTTATTCATTAGCCAGGCTCTGTACATGTATAGGAGTAGCTTGACTTACCGTGCTCTGGTTCTGGATTGGTGTGCCTGTAATGAACCAGTGATGCCGCGCGTTCAACCTCGCCACTGCAACATGGATATTGCTCAACGGGTTGCGAATCTTATGACCCTCATCTAGAATCACTGTATGGAACACCCCCTTCCACTTTCCAATCCAATCGGCTGGCTTGAAGGTTTTCTCGTCTCCTGGCTGGCCGTGGCTTCTGAAGGGTCCGGCCTGCGAGGGTGTCGTACGAAGTCAATATGACAGTCTTTGCGGCCGACTTGTTATCTGTGTCGAAAATAAATCGAAGGGCGGCAGGGAACTTCTTCGGGGATTTGGGATAGCTCTTCATAGCTTTCGAAGATATCCATTTGAGGAATGACGCTCCGTTCGGTGGTTGTAAGGACACAGGGCACCCAGCTCACAGTAATAGCATATGAGAGTGCGAGTCGGAGGCTAAACGGATGCTATCCTATAGGTCTACTACGAAGGATACAAAAAAGATGATGGGGAACCCCGTCAGTCGATTTTCTCAAGTATCTGAAACCCATCCGACTCGGTTCCGACTCGGTTAGGCCACCCAAATGATCACACATGACCCCGCGGCTACCCGGAGTCTACTCCCTAGAATGGGAGACGAGAAGGCATCCTTACAGTGGTAAGTCTCCATAGGCGAGGACCAGATTAATTCCCTTGAAGTGCTTTGTAATGTCCTGACGCCATTGTTCGATGACAGGTCCAGCCGGCGCTAGTATGAGATGGGGCCTGTAGTTTCCTGGGGCATCAGGAGTGAAATATCGGAACACCCATTCTAGGTATAAACATGAGGTGAAGGTTTTACCTAACCCCATGTTGTCGACCAACACCCACCAAACGTGCGGGCCATTTGAAGTAGGTCAGCTGCAGCCTGACCTTCTTTTGTTGGAGCAAGTATATAACCATACGCCTTTAGTACCATCCATAGGAAACCAGTGATTTGATGTCCTAGGGGTCGGATGCTGACAGTTGGAAGCGACTTTAGGGCGTACTTGGCAAGCGTGCACTGCTTGTCATGCCAAGTATCAAAATGCGCGTTGGCAATCGTAAGGCAAGCATCGAGTGGAGGACCAGTCTGGGATTCGTCACCGGTAAATAGCTTCTGCATCTTGTAGAAGCCTGCCATGCTTGTGGCATCTTCTTCGTTTTCGCAAAGCTAAGAGGTAATCAGTATTTGGGGGGTCTCTATACATGCACAGAGTTGGATGCTTACATCTGCATTTAGAGTTGTAGCTGTTGCCGCTGCCATACCTCTCTGGATCTCTTGTCGGACAGTGCCAGGGAGACCTGACAGGTTTAATGCTGCCTTTGGCGCGACATTAGCAACACGTAACGTGCCAACAACCTTTCGAATGAAAGCCTCAATACCGGCTGGAGTTGACACATCAATGCCTAGGTGCCAGGCTTGTGACTCTGCCGATTTGCAGTCGCCAAACAGTTTATCTGGGGTCACAATGCCTCGAATCCCATGATAATTTGATCCCGTAAGCGCACCCTGTAAGTAAGACAACTTTGAACCGGTATGAGAGAGCTCTGGGGTTTCAGGGCCCTTTCCCTTTCCCTTTATATCAACTTGGGCAGGCGCTGGGGCAATATGAGTGCAAGGCGTCGGGTGATTTGCATGAGTGGTTGCATCGTCCTGGGCAGCAGTGTTCTCTGTTATGGCTAGAGCCCCTACTTCATCACTGTATACCTGAATAGGGCCTCCGTCGAACTCGTATGGGTATGGTCCGTCTTCTTCGGTGTCCACTACCTTCAGAGAATATTCTATGCAGAACTTGCTCCCTGAGTGTAAAACTTCCAGAACGTCTGTCCATGGTGTGACCTGATCCGGGTTCTCATTGTCATAGATAATCCATGGACCCTCCTGTAGAACTTGTACAGGGCCAGGGTCTTCTGCGGCAGGAAGTGCAGTTGGGATCAAAGTCAGGGTGCTAAAGTCACACCTGAGCCTAGGAAGTGACAGCTCGTGGCGCAAGTGGTCACGCCACTGGGGGCCAATCTCAAAGTCTCGAATGTCGTGCTTATAGTCGACAATGTCTTGCGACAAGCAGATCTTCTTCCGCTTGAGGTATGAGTTGATATGCTCCGAGAGTTGCTCGTCGTCCTCTGTTCCATCTTCGCGAACAAACTATAGGGTAACTTCAATTGGGGCTGGCTTCTCTTGATTCATAAGACCGAGGATTGCAGATGCTCCAGGTACCTCTTTAACTGTCTCATTCCCCATCCACGAGGGGAGCCTGTCTGGATGCACTATACCAGAGACGAAATACTGGTTCTTCCCAAGTTTGGCCTTGATTGGAGCAAATTTCAATGATGTGGTCTGGTAGAGAAGATATCGGACACATATGTAAGCCCTTGAGTAGCGTTCCATAGCATGCTCACGGAACATATCGAGAGGTCCGAGGGTTGGAACTAGTAAAGTCGTCTTGTCAAAAGCTGGGACAAAAAACCCCTTCACTCCAGACTGCTCAATGCGGAGCTTGGCAAACTGTGATTGTAACTCTGTGTCCTCAAGAGTTAACAGCCCAACATCCTCAAGAGCACGGGCGGTATGATGTATGGTTCCCGCAAACATGAGAGTAAGTGCTCGCGTTGTGTCCTCTGTATTGGCCTTATCTTCTTCGGAGCGGTTGTTGAAGTTGAAGACTAGTGTGTCGATATTGGTCTCATATTCATATGCATCAACGTCGTTGAGTGAAGATTCTAAGATGGAAGTCGCTGTGACTTGGATCTTATTCTTAAGGATAGTCTCAAAAACCATTGCTCCCCTCATAATTGGCCAGGACCACATCAGATCGCGTAGATGTAGAGTGTCGGTGTAGCCAAGGTAACCAGCAACAGAGGCCTCAGCCAGTCTTGACAGATCATTGAGTGTTGGGTTTCCCGGGGCCCATTTCTTCACTTGTGTCTGTGAAGCAGAGGCACACTTTCTTGATGGGGTCTATCGCTACATCAGTCCTGTGTACATGTATAGAGGGAGGCATCTTACCTCAACTTGAGTCACGCTGCTTCCAGACAGTATCGGCACATCCTGATCTTCGGCCTCAGCTTCTTGTTTCCCACCTTGCGTCTTCGCACGTTTTGAAGGTGGAGTCCCAGCCATGCTAAGAGTACTGTGTGTTGTCAGTGCCCTGCCCCTGTACATGTTCAGAATATTCCAGGGCTCTCACCTTGAATTCACTTGGGTGAAATCAAATCTGGCACTAGTAAGGTTGTCGGCATAGGAATCGGGCGCCAAATGCGTGTATTTGGCATGGTTTTGGCATGATAGAGGCTTGATTGTTTCGCTTTGCGGTGTATTGAGGTTGGTGTAGGTGAATTTGAGGCTGTGGCAAGGCTCTAGCGCAGATAGATGGCCCTGGTTTGGCCGATCTACTGCGCACGAGGTTTTGGATGACTTGAATCGGTCAGAAAGAGTTTTGGAGGAAAGAAAGAGGTTTTGGATGAAAGGAAAGGTGTTTGAACTTACAGAAAGGCTGTTCTAGGGGTCCACAAACAGCCAGAAGGAAGGTGGTGGTGGTGTTGTTGTTGGAGGGTTGACGGAAGAAGAAGAAGGTTGATATTTGGAAATCAGTTTCGGCAACAGAGCCCACCAAATTGTTGGAACAAGTACAGAGGAGGGCCAAATAGAGAGGAGGGCTGATGGTAGAAGCATATTATTGGAAGCGTACGTCCCAGGTGCAATGAATGAACATTTTTGGAGAAGTAGGGACCATATATATCCCCTCTGCCTCAATTTGTGGTAACGGAACTATTTGTCGGAACAAGGTTTGGGCGAATAGTGGGAGGTTAAGAACCATATCCCAAGATCCCTTCTGAACCAACTCTTCTATAAGTATGAAGACCTTGGGCAATTGGTCTAGGTCAGGAGCATATGTAATTATCCGACCAAACGTAGTAGATGTGGTTACTACTATGTCGCCCTGCCTTAAAATGCGCCGCCGGGAACTCTCTGTAATTGAATATGACAATTGTTGATACCAGCGGAAACGTGTATTCTTAAACATCACTCTGTGGTGGCCATGTTTGGTAAGTATCTCCTCAAATAAGTTCGAGACTGATTTAGTAAACAGTCGAGCTTTAACTGGAAGTCCCTGTAAACCACACTCAGTTCTTGATAGCTCACCTTGGACCCAGACATCAATATGAGAGCCACTAGCCTCTACATTACCGTATATACGTAAGTCTGAGGTTAAGGCACGCCTATCAGCAACTGTTAGTAGAGATTCAAACACTGCTGGGCAATTATCCTTAATCCTTATAACCTGGGCGGAGGTCTCTGTACATGTATGGAGGAAGGCACCACACAGGGTAGACCGGAGGGTTGTAAATATACACTCTTGGATAAGTAGATCCCGTTCAGGCCGTCTGTGGTTTGTCCGTATAACTGCTTCCTTGAAGAATTTGTGCTTGTCTTCGCCCCAGAACACGTTTGTATTCCATACACTTCCATACTCCTCCATCATTTGGTGGAAGTGAAGGGCGATATGGAAATTAGGAAGCCGGCCTGCATGACCAATAACACTAGCATTACCTTGGGTAGGGTTGACTTGATCATCAGTACTAGTTTCAACCTCAGATCCACTTTGGCTAAAGGTAGCATAGGACTGTAGGGCGGCCGATGCAACGCCAGGCCCTATATTGCTAGCGGTTTGCCTGCTTTCTAAGGTGCCTGACGACTTCGCCGCTGCCTTCATAAGACACAAGAAACTAGCTCTCCCCTCTAATATAACATTGTGGAAGTCCAGCCGCTCTGTAGTAGTAAGACTGATAGACAACACAAAGGAATTACTTCTTGCAATGTGCCCAAATGCACTCACAATAAAATCAACATCCGTTTTATTATGTATAGGCCGGGCTGTCACTGGACATTCACGGGCTAGAGCCGACTGGAACGTGTGCCGTACATGTATTGTTTTCAGCTAGCGGCGAAGTATTAATGGTACGATAATGGATGCCTTCCCACATTCGCTCATTGACCACGACCGTATGTGTTTTTCTGGGGACTGTATTCGACTCCAGCCAGGGGGGAAGGTAAATTTCTGGAACTGTTGGGTGAACTCAATCTGGGCAGCTGGGGTTAGTAACGGACCATATAATATTGGGTATAGCCTCCGAATGATACCAAGGAACTCACTATGAGCTGGATCTGGGGGGCGGCTCATAACAATGTCAAGAGATGAGATGACCATCTGCAACGCAGATGGTTGGTCAGCTAATCCATGTTGGCGACCAAATTGTAGTCGGGTCGACTTCGAGGTAAGCTCATCCATCTGCCTCCGCAACTCTTGCACTTGGTAATGAAACTGCCCATGGCGCTTAATGTCTCTTCCGAGATTAGCCCTTGTATCAAGGCTTGCATCACAAAACCGACAGCAGAGGTTGGCTCCTGGTGAAAGGAATCCAGCTGACTGTTGCTGCCCTTTCATGTCACCCAGGATAGTAATAAATGGTGCCCATACTACTGTCTGCACCCCTTTGATAACCATCGAGCAACCACGCTCAAGTGTCCCTATACATGTACGGAGCACCGATATAGTGGCACCTAGATGGGAGCCATGGGGCCCTAGGATCAGGGTATGACTATTCATGCTTCTTTGCCGCTGCTCGATGTCTAACCCAGCTGGCATCATATATATCCCAGTGATCGAGCGGTACATATTGCGATATAGCCCAAAGTCGTCAATAAACATAATTAAGGGTAGTGACTGGACTCCTGACATGATTGTAGCCACTAAGTAGTCCCGGCCGTATTGCTCAATCTCTATCCCTCCATGCACTGGAGTACTCCGTTGAATATCAACAATTCCGTGGCTTTTGGTGTATATTTTAGTAACAACCCAAGGCGTCCGTACAACACCCTTGCCCCACTGTATGCTTATATCAGGTCGACGATGTAGCACTTGAGTAGGCTGTATCCAGAGAAAAGACCCGTCATCAAGGAGGTGTTCGCTTATAGACAGCCTTTCCACGTCCTCCTGTAGTCTCTGGGACTGGTATAGTATATTGTTCCGGTGGATTAATGGTCTTATGTGGAGGAGCACCATGTTTAGGGTAGTAGATGAACCCCGCCTATCACGCCCAATAAACACAACCTGCCCAGAATGCTTGGATGTAGAGACGCAACAAGCAGTGTTGTTACATTTATATTGGACAAAGTCAGACGGGAAAATTGGCTCTCCACAACTGTACAGCGCAAAGTCCACGCCACACGTCCTAATTGAAGAACCCCATGCTCGGGAGTGGTATAACTCAGTTGGATTATCCACAATATCGGCCTCCCTTGGTGTATAGGCTGACCAAGGGTAGATAATAGTATTGTAGCAGCAATAACCCGAGGGTCAAAGAAGTGAATATAGCTTTGAGACTTTGCAGCGATGCCTGGAGGCTGCTTGTCCATCCGGACGTCTATTATTGATCTTTGAAGTGGTAGTAAAGGTAGTCGGCGACGACACCACTTTTGAAGTGTTGCAAGGTTCTCTGGGAGCTGAGTAAATTCCTCGTTTGGAATGAGTCGTAACACTTGGATCAAGGCCTTATAGGACTGCCGAGTAACTTGATGCGTATCGCACCAAATGCCAAATGCCATGGTGAAGTCTGATAATGGTCTCGATTGAGGGTTTAAAGCTGCTAGATCAATGACATCATCACTGGCAAAATGAACCTTTGGATTGTGTTCACTCTCTACTGAGCCATTCTCTGAGTAGTCGTCCTCTCACACTATAGCATCATTGTAGTCCCCCTGGAAGGCGTCCTCTGTACATGTATAAGACGACCCTGGTTCCATAATTGGCATTGTAGGCCATTTGGCGTTGGATTGTGAGTCAGGAAAATCGGCAAGCTCATTTTCATCATCGTCATTATAATGCGTATAATAATCTTCTGGCTGATTTAAGGTTAGTGAAGGAGGTGGCACATAGGATTGAGCGTTACTTGACCCATTATCTAGAGCAGGAAGCTGCAGATGTTGTCTCCGGGTAGCCTCAGCTCGGTTCATCTGTGTAGTCTGATATACAACATGCCTCCGAAGATTTGCCCCGGAAGCTGGCCATCTACGCCTACACCGGCGATTTGGATTACCAAAATCCTCTGCAGTATATGTTGCATTGGGGCTTGAGTTCATTGCTATAGGTAGTAGGTTATAGAACTCCCAATTTGTATAGGGGGTTATATTGAGGTAAGAGTCGCATTATGAACAGTTGAATTAGACGACGGGGTTTGGCGATCATTCATCACGTGACACTGTATGACACTTCACGCGTTGTTTACAATTTTCGAATTTATACCCCCCCCGGTTACAAAATCACACACTTAAACCACCTTGTGTTGGTGTCTATAACAGGAAGTGTATAGGAGTATACTATTGGTATTCATGCACCCTCCCCCCCCCCGCCCCCCCCGAACATGTACAGAAGGGAGGCTAATTCTGGGTTGTAGAATCAATACCATGCCAAAGACCTCGCGTCGCCCAAGACGCGCTACTAGAGGCACAACCAGAGGCACAACCAGAGGCGCGTCGCAGGCATATAACCAGGAAGATCACAATCATGAGAGCTCGCAAATGCAGGTATATCAGACCTCAAACTCCCAATATCCATATGGTGCGCGCAGCATTGTTCACCACGACTCAAATAGCCCAGAATTGTCTCAGGCCCAGTCTTCGTCCAACTTAACCAACAATGAGGCCCTACCTACTATAATCAACTCCCCGACTTCGCAGTTATTGCTCCATATTCAACCCAATACCATTAGCCCAGCGCAGTCTCAAGTTGGACAGATCCATGAGCCTCAGTTTCGTGTAGCATCATCCCAGCTTCCTACCCAGCTAGCAACGAAACTGTCCTTTGACAACAGTCATTTCAACAGACCTCAACCACATCGGAATGACACCGGCTTCCAAAATGCAACTGCTCTAACTTCGACCCCACAACTTAGTGGTCAAAGTAGTAACTCTACAAGGTCCACCAACTCCCTGCCAGTCTACCGACCTGCTGCAAAGCGTATGAGGCCTAACGACAACGATTCTTACAATAGTAGCACCAAGCCCTTTCGGCAGGCAGAGAACCAGACCAAAGTGTTCGACAATGCAGCTTGGAAACAAAT